GCACAGCATACCAGCTGAAACCAGGAAAATACACGTATTTGAAGGGGAGAGAGACTGGCTTTATAGATGTATGAATATACACATAAAAACATGTCTAACCCCAGGTTTTCTGTCATGTTTCAGACTGTGAAATGGCTAGGTTTAGATCTGCACCACATGTATTCATGTCACATGAAATGCATGCATGCACAGGCCTCCCGATCAAGGTGGGTTTCTGAGGACGTAAGAGAAGACCTGAGGGACCCCATGAAGTCTGTCTGGGCAGTCAGCTGCCTACAGTGGATACACACAGCCAAGTGGGGGAGAGAAAGCCAGGCTGGTGAGTGATGCCACGGCTGGCCTGTCTGGTTCGACACAGACAGCTATCAAGTGGCAAAACACACACTCACTATCCCATTCCTCTCGTTTATCTGCACAAAGCAACACAAAACCATGCACAGGCTTTTACTGTCAGTGTAAGCCATATTATTCTTGTAATTAATTCCAGGTCTACAGCCTGAGAGCTTCTCTTTTTCCCTTTCCCTTTTCCCCCCTCTTTGCTCCCCTCACCATTTGCCTCACTCCAACCTTGTTTGGGTTTACATGCTGCGTCATTAAATTCCAGAACAGTAAACGCTGCAGCCTCTCTCTCTAAGCACTGACACACTGCTTTCTAGGCTGCAAATTAGACATGGGGTTAATTCCATTCCTTCAAGGACTCTGCCTTTTATTTTTCTTTACATCCAACTCTAAGGATGCTTTTGGCAGATGCATAGTGGAAAGAGATCATGTTTGCTCTGTGCTTCCTCCCTGCACTTCCCCCTTCTCCACTCCCACCCATCAGCCATAAAACAACACAGCCCAGGCAGATCTCAAACTGAAAGCAAGACAAAGCACCCACACAGCCCGCACTTCCATTCAGCAGAAATGGGCCGCCCTGGGGTAGTCCAGGATCTACAAGTAGGCCAGACAGAAATAAACAGAGTAAACAAAGGGTATCCTGTCCAAGCAGAGAGGGGCTAAAGAGAGTGATGTCTTTCATTAAAATGCAAGGCAGGGATACAAGTACACAGCCAGTCAAAAGCATCATTTGAGCTTGCTAGGAGTAACAGGAGGAAAGCAACACATGATCGTGCCATTATACAAACCCAAAGCACATCACCCAACTGTATGCAGGGCGCAGCTGCATATCCCGCCTACCAAGGACCAAAACAAGGCAGCCAGCCACACACCTACCACCACCCCAAAACACCAGACGCCAGCCCCAAGGCTGCAGCAGCACAGCGCTGCTCTCCAGAAGGCTGAGTAGGGAAGAGTGTACACAGGTACAGTACCAGGCGACCAGAGCCACGCAAATGTCAGAGCCAATGACATTTAGAAACGCCGTAGCTGCCTTTTTAGAAAGGGGAGGGGAAATGGGGAGAAAAGCACAGCACAGCCATAGCAACAGGTCAAGTGTTTGCCATGGTTCTTTGGGAAGAAAGGTAATGTGGCACATGTGCTTTCTCAGTTTTCCGAGCATTTGTCACGTAATAAAGTCATTAGCCTGGGAATTACTAGGAGAGTTTTGTTTAGTTTTTCTGCAACCTGCTGCTCCAAAGCCCATGCAAATCCATGTGTTAAAGTCCACGCTGTGTAAAACCTTGTGTCTCCCATTACATGGCTATCGCAAACAAACCTCACATTTTTCCACAGACTGGCAGGAAAAATGCAGTACGTGGAGAGGTGGGGGAACAGTCAGGAGTTTCTAGCAAAACAGCAGTCTGTCTGCTCAGTTATTGGTAAAACTGAACGTGCTGCTTTTTTTAAACAGCCTAATCATATTTACTATTACATCAGACTTATCCACCACAAATTGTTCTCATGCAATGGAAGAATTTTTAATCTAATATCTTGGACTCAGATAATTTCCCAGCTGCAGAACTGCAATAATTTCCTATCTTCCTATTTTTGAGATAAGCTGATTAACTTGGATATGTTTTAGTTTCAGGGTGCGATTATCTCCCTTTATTGTGCTTGAGAGAGAAGGGGTGACTTACAGTAAAATAACTTTGTTTTCCCCAAGTCAGCTCTTAAAGTCTGCTTCTCTGTGATGGAGATAGGTCTTTCCTGTTGCATTTCCCTTAGCCCCTTAACTTTCAGCACTTCCTCTTCCTCTCACAGCAACACTGTATTAACAGCAACTTCTATTTTACTCAGAGAAAATACACTGTTTGAGAAATCCTCAAATTAACTCTTAAAAAAATCTCATGCAGAAACATTTTCTTGTTTAAAATACATCTGAAGTTTATTACAAACCTCACAAACCAGCACTATTGGTCAAATCCTGCTTATGTTGTTCATTTGTTTTTTGCTGCTATTGAAGAAGAATAGCAGCAAAAAAAGGATAAGGCCTGATGCACTGTTCACATATACAGTGGAACAAAACAGGAACCTCCATTCACTTCAGTAGAACTGATTTACACCCAATTAAGGGGGAAGACAAGCAAATCCTTGAATGTATGCCATTACAAATTGAAAAATACTGTTTATTCCCACAATTTTGTTGAGAGTTTTTGATATTTAATGTTCTTTCTTAAATCCCCAGGTCCTAGATTCACTTGATTATGTTAAAGGGACTCTCTCTCCTCCTTTATTTTTTCCTTAAGTTTCTAGCAATCATATTCTAGGAGGAAAGCCTGAAACCATGAGATGAGGACACTTTTTAGACTGGAAGGCTGTGCATGTTGAAGTGTTTTGAATTACCTTTCTTTTCTAGATCTCACTGTTGTGCAGGACTTTTCAACCTGTGTTGATTTGCAGACCAAATTCAATACTGAAAACTTATGAATTACACATATGCAGATTTCCATGCAGCACATATCAATTCATTCCTCTCAGTCACCATTCATGAATTCCTCTGAAATAAACGTTCATAGATTAAAAGCTGCTAGTCTGATGATTTAGTGGGAGTGTGGCTTGGGCATTTTCCCTGCAAAGCATTGGCAATACCAAGAAGGAGCTGGCCTATTTAAAAGTGAGACTCTCTAAAATGCCAGATCAGTGAAAAAGACCCAGTTGCATAAACGTGCGAGTGCAAGAACTTCTTAACATTGTAGATGTAGCAACAGAACAAATCAACATTTTGCTGTTTCCTATTAAAAAAAGTAACCCCAGCCCCCAACAAACTGCTGCTCATGCACAGCTGTGCCCCTAGTAGCTAAGCCCCTAAAACCATCCCCATCCCAAGGAAGGTGACAGACAACCTCTGGTTCTCCCCTGTTGGGGAAGGGAAAGTGGAAACTGTCCTCTACTGACTACAGTGAGAGCACTTGTGTCCCTGAAAACGCTCTCATAGAGAACAGCCTGCAGTATAAAAGCAGCCCTCCTATTACCAGCGCGTTGCTATGGGCACTATTTCTAAGAAAGCAGCCACAGGAGCAAATTCAGAAAACATGGCAAAATATATGAGGGAAGAAAGAAAAATTACAAAGAGCCTGGACTCATCCCTGCCTGTTCCTACAGGTAGCAATAGGACTGTAGAGAAGATGGACAGTGAAATGTCGTAGTGCTGGACATATAGGCTGGTAGAGCTTGTGGCTTTGCATCACTCAACTGCGTTTCAAAACCCTGTCTGAAATAATTATTTCTTGGTACTCCAAGATATAATTTCTCAGCTACCTTTATTTTTTTTCCTAAAAGTTAGTAAAATCAAGTTTATCTTTTCTTCATTAGCCTGCTTTAAGTGAATTTAATGAATACAATTCTGGTAATGAAATTTGCCTTACAGATCACAGATAACAGTTTGCACAAAAACATCTGCTCGTACACTGGTTTAGGGCAAACCTTTCTACAACATATCAAAATAACTTAGTTTCTAGACACCTTTTCCTACAGCAAGCGTTAGCAGGTGACTAATGATAAATGGATTTTGTCACCAAAGAGCTACAGAACGAGTAGCTTCATACCATCCAGCTGAACTGAAACCAGAAGAGTGAGGGTGAACTGGTCTGTATTCCACATCCCCAGCATCCCCTGTATGTTAAAGTTGCCCTATCAATTCCAGTTCAAATTAATCAAGAGTGGATCAAGTCTACCTTTTATGCTATTTTCTAAATGAAATCAGATGTACATGTAAAATTGGTGTTTAAATGGTTTTTGCCTAATAATGAGACAGATATTGACAGAATAATCACCATGAAGACCAAGGTAAGCGGCACTATATTCTCATTAATAATTCAAATCTTAGCATTGATATTGATGACCATGCACTTAAAAAGAGGAAACTGGGCAGCAGCTGGAGTTAGCCCAGATTTCCTAAAAAGCTGTTGGACTGAAACAGACACACACTAGAGAGATTTTACTGTAAGATTCAACCAGAGAAATGGCAGCTTCTCATTATTAAGAGATCTTGGACCCTCAGAAGCATTGCTGAAATTGAGCAAGGTAAAAAACACAGCATTAGTAGACTAATGAAAGGGAATGGGTGAGAAAAATAAGGGAACAAAATCCAGAGACAGAATCTCAATATTTCTTCCTCCCCCCTCCCAGTCCCAATATTAGGGGCACAGAACAACATCATGCACTGGTACCTAATTCCAGTTACTGCTTAGGAGCAAGCAACGTTACAAGCTTTAAAATAAATGTGTACAATCAGCAAAAGTACAAACAAACAGAAAGGTCGTAGGAGCCAAAACCACTTAGAACAAACCAGTTGGGGCTAGTTAACATAATCTGCTCTATTCACATAACTAAGTTTGTTTCACTGAGGGCATGAACTTTCTTGGAAAAGCTCAAGTAATTAACTGCAGGAGCTTACACATTTTCTTTCCCTCAAGTTTATTTTACCCTGAAATTAGAGCTGCTTGCACACAACTGCTTCTACCAACTCACTCAAAAAGCTGAGTTTTGCTTGTTCTTTCTGGAGGAAGATGCTTGAAGAGACGGTACCCTTGAAGCATAGGATCCCCTTCAATTCCTCCTACCTTCTTGTCCACTCTTCCCACCATTTTCAATAAATACAAAAGAAAATCATATCTTACCTCACGGAAAAAGAGCAGGTTTCCAATGAAAGGAAGAGGTGGAGGGTGTCGGATCCCTACTTTGTTTAGTTTGGAGAAAGCAGATGTGGAGTACCTGGAAAAAATAAGGTAGTAAGTTAGTTTTGGATCTCATCATGATACAACTTACTATAGTAATTATTTCAGATTACTGCCCTGGATTCAGAGGGAGAAGATGCTTTCTGTGTTGGCCAAACAGAACTGTCAATGTGGTGACACTGCTCAGCAGCATCTCAGGTCACAGAAATAAACGCAATGCACTGGTGCTTCAGAAAGGGCAAAAGAAGGGACTCAAACACAGGCCTGCAAATTGAGCAGTAGAGAGCTGCTCCTCTTCCTACAGAGGGTCTTGGAAGTTAGACATGACTCTCCAAAGCTACATGAGGTTACGAACAAGATCAAAACAGGGATTCAGTGTTTGACTACTGTGGCATAGCTGGGAAAGGAACAAGACAGATCTTCAGACTATTATTTTCTTCTTCCATCACTGCTACCTATACAGATCACAGAATTCAAGCTAGTCTCAGTTGTGCATGAGCCAAGACACTGTCAGTATGTTCAAGTCAAGCCTAATATTTGGGCCAGATATGCTAATTAAGTGATTTTACAGCTGCCAGTCAGCAAATTAAACAAATATAAAAAAATACAGGGAAACAAAACCCAGACTGAAAAGCTTCATGCATCTCTCGTTTCAAATGAAACTGTGGTATGTTGTCAGAGACAATACTAGAGAACAAGAAAAAGAACAACCAAACCCCAAAGTCTTCCCCCCCCCC